GGGTAGCACTGGTTTAGGTGTCCTCGTGGCATCGCCGAATGCAGCCAAATGCCTCAGGGAAGAGCACGAGTGGCTGAACATGCTGGGCGGCTTCAAGACACAGAGTTGTGCTGTGCACTTGCGCTACAACTGCATCAACAGGGTGATTTGATGTGCGAGAACTTCTGTCGAGCTTATTTAATTTTCATAATGGTGAGCCAAATGATGCTCCTTTACTAATGCAAGGGATCTGTGCCTTTGGCACACAAGTACCCCAGGCCTAGGTCCATTGGCGTGCCACGCTTTCCCTCCCTCAGTGGCATCTCTGCTTTTCACATGCATGCAGGGCTGATGACCCACTAGACAGATTTCTCTGCAAGTGGAAGCCTGTGGCTGCGACGTCCTCAGGAGGAAAATCCTTCCAGATTTGGATCTGGCACTCCTTCCCCTCAGAAGCACCGGTTTCCCCTCTCCCTCCTCCGGGAAGGCTCCTAGTACCGCTTCGCACCACTCATTTCCATCTACTGATTTCTAGACAGAAAGGAATCCTCTTGATAGTTAAGAAATAAAAACACTGAACAGTATCAACTCTTCATCCAAGTTTATTGGAGATACAGTAGAAAAGTCAGAATGTCTAATGAAAGTACAATTAATGGTGGTATATGTGACACAGCTCTAATTGGAGGCCCCAGTACACATGCCAGAGTAGGAAGCGAAAATACATTGCCCCTCCCTGCAGAAACTGGTGCCGATACCCAGTAAAAAAGATGACAGGTCAGTGATATATGTTGATTATTACAGGGCTTGTCACCAAACAGGAGTATCCAAGACAGTTTAAAAAGAAAAGCAGCACCAAACCATGGCCAACCTGCATGAAAATCATCATGACTCAATTATGCCAAGGGGCTGCAGACCTCAGGTGCTCCGGCTGCCCACTGCGGTTCCCTGGGAAACTACATCCCCTTTTCCCTGTATGGTGGTGGTGTTCGGCTTTCACACAGCTGTTCCCACTTTCCAAGTGGCTTAAAGGCCTCTCCTAAGACTTACTTTCTGGCAGTGAGAGCTTTAAGCTAAAACATGCTGGTGTTTTTGGTGCCCGGGCCTCGGTGTTTGCTTTTGGCCCTGCCTCAGCTTCTCTTTGGCCCTGTCCTCCACTGGAGCATAGCCCCCGGGGGCTTCTCCAAATCTGAATTCAGTCCTGAGGCTGAACAAAGTCCAACATCTCTGGTGCAGTTCAAGGATACTGCTCAGCTTCATATCTGCCAATTTTATGCAGCGTGTCCAAGCAGCACAGGATGATACTACTTACCCCCTCCCTCTTTCACTGAGAGGGGGCATTAAAGCATCCAGATGAAAGGCAGTGAATGGATTAAGGTTCTCCAACAGCTTGTCTCTCTTCCTGAGAACGCAAAACTCCTGTCTCTTTCCCAGAAAGTCTATTCTGCTCAACATTCTAAAGAAATACAATCATTATTGTATCCATTCAGATCTAAAAAGTTGGGATCTATCATTGAAAGAGGCAGGAAATGTTAGAAAACAGCTGTTTGCTGGATCCCTCTGGGAAGTGATGCTTTGCACGCATTCTGAAGCATCAGCACACCTTCTGTCTGCTGACCTGTTGATGTGTTAGCCTCGCAATGACAAGTTTGTTTTGCCTTTTGATTGTGAAAGGCAAGCCAAAGAAGGGGCAGTGGATTAACCCAAATATATTTGCATGGGATGGTTGCAGAATCCAAATAGGTTCGTGTGTTCCTTGGGGAGGTGCTCTGGCCATCCTATAAGAACTTGCCAAGCACATGCACCAAACACCATGCACCAGGGGTGATCCCTAAAGGGAGCGTTAGATAGCAGGGCAAGGAAAAATAGAAAATTTTTCTATTCCTTCAGCTGGAATTGGTCTTAAACTAGACAACCTAGACAAGTCATGATTCCGTGTAAGGGGAAATCATACTTCTCGTTGCACGAGAGTCATACCTCTGCCAAAAGGGGATGATGTTTTGTTAGCTCACCTGTGTTGATCCTTTTGCAAACCAAAGGAAAACATCCTTCTTAACCCGCCAAGGTGAACCAGTTTTGCCTATCTGGACTACCTGCCTCTCAGCCTCAGCTCAGCGTCTGTAAAATGGGACTGATAGGGGATCACTTTTTAGGAGCTCCTGCGAGCAAGCCAAGAAGATCAACAGTGTGACATACTGTACATATGGAACCTCCTATAGAAAAGGTGAATGAGAGGAAGGAAACTTCTGGTATAGCAGTTTATTTCGTCTTGGAAATGCCCCCCTTTTCCTCATATGGTTTGCTGCTGGGCGTGGGACTTCCATGTTTATTCTTTCCTGCTGCTCTGTGAGAAACACGAGGCTGTGGACATTTTCACGCCATGCTTGCGTGAATGTCCATGGCAGCAGCATACGGCAGCCGAGCGACAAGCCCCAGAGTGGCTCCCCGCACATCTACGCACAACACTTGTGGTGCACCCCCCAGCCACACCAGTGGGCTTCTGCAGACCTCTGGAAGCACAACCACGAGCATTCCTGGCGTGGCATGCACCATCTTCAGATCCAGTGATGCAGTGCTGGCTCACTGGGCTAGAGATGTTTCTGGATGTGCGAGCCCAGCCTGCGTCCCCAGGATTCTGCCTCTCTGGGGGACATCCACGACTAGAGCTCCTTCTTAGGGAGCTGTGCCCAGGCTCAAGGCCACAGTGGACAACTGCTTTGCCTGAGACAGGGAGGACCACTGCAACAAAGAAGACGGCCGACGGTCTGAGAACATCCATGCTGGAATCTCTGCAATGTATATTGGGAAAGAGTCCACGGTGCAGTGGCTAGCTTTCCTGATTCAATTCCTGACACCTTCAAGGAATTTGGGTAGCAAGGCTGGCTAGGAGCAGCTTCTGTCCTAGATCTTGGAGCAGAGATGGGCAACACATCTAGGAGAGGCCCAATGGCTGCTCCCAAGGAACCCCTCATGGCCTGGCTGATGTCAAGGGGTTTGGCATCAGGGCTCCGAACGCAGCCCTGACACCCTCTGGTCCCTGATCAAGATGCCAGGTGGAGCTCTAGCCGGCACTGTGGCCAGGGACAGGGCTTGCCTGCCCCACACCCTCTGCAACAGAGGAAGGTGCAACGTGGGCAAGCCCCAGCGTTGTGCAATGTTCCCAGGATGGCAGGGGCAGCAAATGACTTGGCCAGCACGGAAAAGAGCAACCCCCTGTTCCCTGGAGATGGCACCGTTATCTCTGCTTCCAGCGTGAGTTCCTCCAGCCAGCGCTGCAGATTCCTCCGGCTGAACGCCACCCACACCCCAGAAAAATCCAAGGAGGCTCTGCAGATCAGAGGGGGAACCTCCACAGGTCAGACCAGGCTCATAGTCTGAACCATCTCCATGCCCGAGAGGACTGTTCTCAGAGATGGAACTGGCCTAGGAGATGTACCATTCATCTGGTTCTACAAATTCTGCAGAACGAGGGTTCCTGGAGTACCGTTTTGAAATGGCCCCATCAAATCTGGGTGCTCTCGACTGGGCTATATTTCTTTTTCCATTCCAGGATTTCTTTTTAAAGGAAGCATTGCAAGTTCAGTGACCTCCTAGCCATCTGAAGTGGTCCAGCCCTTTGTCACCTCAGCACTTATTACTGCTGCATTCTGTTCTATGGCATGGGGCATTGCTTATGCCCACATATAATGGACCACCTTTGGAATACAGAAATGATGTAAAATTTACCACTGCTTACCTGCATTCTGAAGTCTGTCAGATAATATCCTGTTTGGGAAAGAAAAGCAGTATAGTCACATCATGTGAGAAACCATCCTTTCTAATAGAAAATCAGAAATAGGACTTCTTTTCTCTCAGTCTGTATCTACCCATCCACCATTCTTTTATTTCCTCTTGCTCTCTCTGTGAGATTTTCTACATGAGGCATTTATTGTCCGCTCCCCATTCCTTACCCATGGTGTTGACATGATCCTCCCGATTCAGTTTTTAAATAGCACTTTTGATGAGGGGTTTTTATTTCTGTTTTTCTAAGAGCAGGGAAAGAGGTGATACTTGTGAAAGTGAAAGAAAAATCTTTTTTCTATGAACAACTGGGGAATTTCAGTTTGCCACAATGCCCCCTACAGGTTATATGGTGGAAAAGCTGGAAAGGAAATGCTCTGCGTAGTGCTCGGATGTTGATTCTGTGACAACCCCAAAAATAGAGTGAATTAACACCTTCATATAGGAATCCTGCCTGTCTCTCTCTCTCTCTCTCTCTCAATATCTCCCCCTCCTCTCTCCCTGTCTCAAAAAGAGTACCAAAAACTTAACAGCAAATAAATACCATAAAAGAAACAGTAAAAGGCAAATAGGAACAGCCAACTTATAAAATGAGCATGCCCCCCCCACACACACACACACACACAAATACAACAGCCATGTTCAGGAGAGATGCTGTGCTTGCAGAGAGGGCAGCGGAGGGGCCCTAGGATGGGGCATGGGTGCCAGGCCCCCTCTTCTGGCAGGAAGCCCTCAGACAATGGGGTGCAACCAATGCCCTTCTGAGTGTGGCAGCTGCAACCTCTGGCCACCATCTTCCGACAACAGTGGGGCAGCCAGTTGGCGCCTTTCCAGGGATGAACTAGCGAAGCCCCGACAGACAGTCCTTGAGCTGGTGTAGTTGACTCCAGTCCATCGTGGCCAGTGGGAGGAGGAAAGAGGGGAGAGGAAAGGGAAGGGACACAAGCTAGAGAAAGCTGCTCCTGCTGGCAACACCAGCCCCTGGCCGTGCTTACAGCTCTGCAGGGTCTCCCTTGTACCCACCAGCACAGAACTGCTCTGACTGCCGCACCGAAAAGGGCCGTGGGCCCCTTCCACACATCCAGCAGTCACGAGCCCCAGCTGGCCACCAAGTATCCCTCCAACAGGGACCTGCGGCAAACCTAAAGCATGCTCTTATGATGAGGAGTGGAAGCCCCCCAAAAACTCACTGGGGGGCACCATATTGGGAAGGTGGGCTTGGACTTTAGTATGTGCTTTTCTAATCAGTAGGAGGTCCTGGAGCAATACCTGTTTTCTTCTCCCTCCAGCAGTGACTTGTACGTCGCTATTTCGATATCCAGAGCGAGCTTGTGGTTGAGGAGCTCCCGGAAGCCCCACAGCAAGGCTGCCAGCTGGTCCTTTGCCTCGTGGAGGGCGCCATGTAGCTCCTCAAGTCTTTCTTGGGCATCCTTCAGGGCGCAGTCCCCACGCTTCTCAGCGTCGCAGAGGGCCGACTGCAGACAAGCAACCTGCCGCAGGGATGCACGAGAGACCTCATTTGTCCTCACAGACACAGCCCCGTCGAGGTCAGATGCTCCCGCCTCCCAAGCCAAGTGTTCCCTCCACATCGACCCCAAATATCGCGATCGTCTGGATCAGGGTGCAGAACCTCTTTCAACTCATTTGGGAGATGCTTGAGGGCTGCATTCCACCTGTGGGCAGAATGGAAAGCAAAGGGGGCGGGGCCAAAGGAGAAGGGGCGGGGCGAGGCAACCAGCACATTGTAGCTTTATGCTCCTGCTGTCAGTCAGTAAACCTCTGGAGAAGCATTTTGAGCTTTTAGGTGGAGGGAAAGCTGCACAACACCCAGGAAAACACCAGCTGATCAGTGGTCAGGGAGAAAGCTGCTGACTCCCGCGTTAAGGTAAGGAGGCCAGAGTAAAGCCCAGCCCAGCTCATCCACAGACGGCTTGGCTTCATCCCTTCATCCCAATTTCACTGCAGTGCAGCATTTTGACCTCCCCCTGCGACTGAGCTAGCTGCCCCTGACTCAAGACCATTGCACCAGCTGCCCTTGTGGGCACCCCGACCCGTCCCGGGAAAGCGCTTCCCCTCACTCACCTGCTTTTTGCCTCTGTCTACTTCGTATTGGAGTCTCTGTACCGCCCGGCTCGCCTCCGCCATCTCACACTTGCTCATCTTCAGAGCATCGCTCATTTGGCTCTTCTGGTTCTGGAGCTCCTGGCACTAAAAGCTCACAAAAGCGGCAACGTTATGTTCAAACGTGACTCAGTTTCATTGCTTTCTACAGGCAGTTCCTTATGTTATGTTGTATGCTATGTGGAGTGTGGGGTATTGTGGGTGTTGTGTGGTGTGTGTTTTTTGTTTTGCTTTACGTTTTATGTTTGATTCTTTGTTTTGTTTTGTTTTGTTATTTATACATGGATAAATGCAGAGGCCTTCCTAGACAGCTAGGATATCATTAATATAATAATTCTCTCTCTCTCTCTCTCTCTCTCTCTCTCTCTCTCTCTCTCTCTCTCTCTGTGTGTGTGTGTGTGTGTGTGTGTGTGTGTGAGAGAGAGAGAGAGAGAGAGAGAGAGAGAGAGAGAGAGAGAGAGAGAGAGCGCACATAACTTTCTTTTCAGGACACAGATACTGCGTGTGTTCTCTGGGGATGGCATGCTGACCAATATGTGTTGTGAGAATGGAGCAGAGACAGGGACTCTCTGCCAGCAACTTCAGGAAGGCCCTGCATTTCCAAGTGCTTCCACTCATTTGACCGGGGGGAGGGGACTAAATTGAGGGGGGGAATGCACAGAGGAATCCCCTTGGGATTTCCCATCACAGATTGGAGACAAGGAGGGGGGATTTCCCTTTCTCCAAATGAGGGAGAAGGGTTGGCCGAGGGACAGGGTCTGTGGAGGACTGCAGAGTGGGCTCAGTCCTCCACGGAGAAGAATCCCAGACTGGATTAGCCTCACAGAACACAATTCCCCATACCCACCCTGGGTGATGGAAATGAAATTCCCTCTGCCACACCATTTCCAATGGAAGCGTCCCACTACTGATGGGATGCAGCATATGCCTGAAAGGCCCAGAGCACTCTGCTGAGGAGGAAGAATTCAGCATCGTGAATGTTGCCTCAAAGGTCAAACTAAAACCCAGAGGGGACAACCTACTCCACCAGCCCCCACTGATCCACCGACCCCGATCTTAGTGAGCCTGTACACTCACGAGGAGATGCTGATGAACATTTATGTGGGTGAATGAGAGAGAGAGAAATACACTCTTTTGTTTATAATATTGGCATTTTCTTCCTCTTACTTGCCCTCTTACTCCCTCTCTTAACCTCTCTTGTTTGCGTGATATTTTGAGTCTTAGTTCTGCAGCGCAATGCATGAAAATGTTCTAACTCGTACCAAATGCACTGATGCAAGAAGAACCAAAGTAAAGCAAGGGCCAGGCACTGAGGAGAGCCGGGCACTGAACTGTGACATCGTGATGCTTCTAAAGCTGAAAACTGTGGTCCAAAGCAGTGTTGGGAATCGCCTGGGTTCCTGTGCTAGGGAAAAGTGAACAAGTGAGCCTCATGAGCACCAGGATTTTCTTGTGTCCAGTTCCTGTTGGCATCTATGATAGCCGGTCATTCTACACAAACACAAAAAAAAATGTGCAAATTGACCTGCGATTGAACATGACATTTGTGCAACCATTCCCTGCTGGATTTGCACAAATTTCCCCTAGATATGCAAATTTCGCAAATTTCTTCTGTCAACTAAGGTGAAGCTGATTCAACCTATGGGAAAAATTGTACCCATTACAAAATGTGCGCAAATTCAGGGTATTTGCATAAGAGGCTTGCATGAACTGAAGCCAAGCACATGCTCAGCAATTAATACATGTTTCCAATAGACACATGCTCATGCTTGTGTTCAGAGCATAAACAGGGCATGCCTGCATGCTTCATGAGCAAAAACCAAGTTCTCACAGGGCCGTATGGATGCCATTGCTGCAACGAGAGCAACGAAACCAAAGTGATCTGACAACATTTCTTTGGAGCAACAAAGCAGCTCTGTAAAGAATGAAAACCTGGAGCAGAAGCTGTATTAAGAGAAGGAGGAACAATTTGCAGAGTTTCACTCTGGTTCCTAGCACACCTCATCGATGCAGAATTTGCAGCGTATTTCAACTTGGGATGGGCATAAATTGGTTTGTACTTTCAGGCAAATCGACTGCATCCATGCATTCCCAACTGGATCACTCTTGTCCTTTGGACTGAACAGCTCTTGTTTCACAAAATACAGGCAAAGATGCGACCAAAAGTGTGTGCAAGAGTAAACATGAGCGCATAAATGGCAGACTGGAGAGCAAATCATGCTAAAGCAGTGCACAGAACAGACATGGACCAGACGAATCCCGATTCATCCATCCTAATATCACTGTCACTTTTACCCTTTCAAATGATGGCTGGCATGTGACTATACAGTATGGTGATGATAAGGTTACTATTATCATAATTTGGAAGTTGCTTTTGGGTGACTAAACGTGTTAGTTTCAGTGGCGCACTGTTTCTGTTTTCCATAAGAGAAGGGAGATGAAGCATTTTGCTGTGATATTATGCAGCCTGCGGGGTTCCCTTCCAAGCACACTCAAATGGTTACTCACCGTGTTTCGGTAGAAAGCATTGGCTTCTTCTTTGCTCCTGTGTGCAATGCTCTGATACCACAATTCAACACCGTGGATGATGGCGTTCATGTCCAGGTCTCGCGTGTTGTCCATCTGCACACTGATTGCGGTCCCACTCTGGATCTGCTCTTCTAGCAGAGCAATTTCCTAAAAAAAGGCGAAGAGCATCCTTGTGGCATGCATCATCCTCCCCACCATCAAATGGACCACAAAGCTCGTCACTAAATAGCTAGAATTGGGACTTTACATTTAGGAAATTGTGTTTGCTATTTATTTATTTTCAGCATTTTCTGTGATGTTGTTGTGGGAGTGGCTCCAAGGCCCTCAGGGCAGAAGAGGGCCAGAATGCTGACCTTCCTTAGGAGCTCTAGCAATTATTGCCTCAGGAGATCGACGCGAATGTTCCTTACCTCATCATGAGCACACCTCAGGAAGGCAGCCTCCTGTTTCATGGATTCCACCTTAGTTTCCAGGTGCACCTTGTTCATGAAAGCTCCATCTACATCCTGGAAGGTAGAGACAGAATGCCTGAAATTTGCCCTGCTCCGTTCCGCACAAATGTGGTCAAAAGCATTCATGAAGAGCCGGTTTGCAGAGAAACTGATGTCCAGAGATGCCCATCTTACCACTTTTTCCTCTCCTGAATAAATCTTCTGATGCTGTCAGAGCAGGACTTTGGGGCAGATGTCCAAAACCGGAGTCCCCAAAATGAGCAGCTGGCCCCTGAACAGTGCAGCTCTGGCTTCCCATGTTTTAAAAGACAAGAAGTAATAAGTGCCCCCCCTCTAAAGAGACAGGGCCCATTTAACCATTAAGTTAACAATCTTAGGGTACATAACTGCCCCAGAGAGTAAATGCTGGCAGGAAAGAGGAGGCTGTGGCTATGCTATTAGGATCACGGCTGAACTTGAGACAGGTTAGGGTTCAGGTCAGGTCATCCCGGAAGTTCTGAAGTGGGGGATTTGGGTTGCATCTCTGGACTCCACCCTTGACCTGTGTGTGAATGGGGTTGGGGGAACCAGTGGGGCTGAGTGAGAAAGAGAGGGAAACCTGCTTTGCACAACACAACACACACTGAGTAATGGTTTGTTTCAGGGAAGCTTATTCTGGGCATCCAAAGCCAGGGAGGTTTCTTCCATGTGACGTGTTCACCATGCACAAGCCATCGTAAGAACCCGTTGCTTATTGCGGAGGCATTCAGGGTGGCTTGCTCCTGGAGGGCCTCCTTGAGATGTGCGAACCCAGCAGAGCGACTTTGGCATGGCTTATAGAAAGGGCCACCTGGCAAGGGGTGGGGGCAGATTTCTCCCTGCAGTCTTGCCAGTGTCATCTTCTAGCTCCATCCTCCCTTGCCTACCTCCCCTCCTCTAAGACATCATCACCTCCCTAGGCAACACCAAATCTTTTTTCTGCCTTTGTGGAGATCACTACATATTTACTGCTATTTTCTTTCATCTACAGGGAAATGTGTGCCTATGTAACAGAATCTTCATCATCATTATCATCATAACCTTATTCACTTTTGGAGAGATTTGTGCCAGTTTGCAGTAACTAATGCACTTTAGTGAACGTGTGCAAAATTTCCTGAAATATTTTTTGAAGTGTGCAGAAATCTCTGCAAAGATGGAAAAACCACTTTGCAAACTAACTTCTCTGCAAATGTGTCCAAATGCAGAGTGACTCAGCTGGCAACTGAAGGTGTGCCTCAAAGGCCCATGGGATATTTCCCAGGAGCATGCAAGGGGGAAGCGAGGCACAGCACAGCAGAGGGTCTGGTCACCTGTCGAGAGCAGGTTGGTTAGTGAATGAACATCCAGCCCATGTGGCTTATTTTCAGGGTGGCTTATCATCGCATGAGAACCAGCACAGAGGAAAAATAGTGACATGTGGGTTTTTTTAACACAGAAGACATTAAAGCCCTGGAACCTGCACCCATGGTACCCACATGGTTCTGGCTCTCCATTTGTGAGTTTAATTACGGGTCAGCTAATCTTCTCCAGCAGACAGAGAAAAAGCGTGTGCTCATCTCAGTGAGGAGAAATAGATGTTTTGCATGCTATGAACACATATACATACAGATGCACATTCTTACATGGCTCTCTTTGCCTCTGCGTTTAACATGATCTATAGTTAAAAGAATTCATTTATTCCCTTTTCGTGAAATGCCCCCAAAATTGCTCCAGAGCAATCTGAATTGCTCACCCTCTTAAGCAGAACAAAATCATTCTCCATGGCCATGCGCTGGTTAATTTCTTCTTCATACCTGCATGGATATAAGAGGAAAAAGTTGGCGTGCCATAACTTGATACTGACACCAGTATCCCCAAAACCTGCAGAGCTTCAAATGAGCATTGATTGGATTGGGCTGAAATAGGAATGGCCACCTTCTGTACTCATCAGATGATTATGCAATCAAGACCCCTGTGTCTGGCTTTGCCTTTTTTCCCCATCTCCCTCCCAATCCCCCTTTTCTTTTGTGCCATGTTTTTTAGCTTGCCGGTAGGGACTGTTGAATTTCTTAGTTTTGTGGGGACATTTTAGGAGCATTTTGTTTTGTTTTGGTCAATAAATGCTTTGGATAAATTAAGAATGAATGAATTTGGCACAGGTGAAGAAGTCCTGCCCACGACAGGTGATGGGCAGATGACATCATGGGGGGGGGTGGAATGGAGTAGGAAAATCCGGAATTTCCACATCAGTCATTAATGAAAAGGTGGTGAGCATTAATGTTTGAGCTGCAGCTCTGGGGTTTGCCCACGGCTTGCTCTCAAGGCTGTCAGCTGTGCATCCTGGGTCTGAGAGATAGTTCTGACTGTCTCACCACCCCTCCCACTTTTTTCCTGAGAGTCCATCACTTTGCATTTAACTCCAACACACTTGTTAAAGTAAAGTCTCTCCATCCCATGAGCTGCATGCAGCCCGTGCAAGGGAATTTCTGGGCCATATTCATGAGTGGATAGACGCATCGGCCTCCTTTCACTCCAGTTCCTTTTCACATCAGTTTAGCCATGAACACGTCCTGATGACTTCCGACCTGAACCATCAAATTGTTCCAAAGGTCCTCTCGAAATGTCCAACATCCGGGGCACTTTTATTCTAGGTCCACCCCAATGAGCAGATAGTCTGAACACATGGTTGCAATAATATCCTTGGAGTTTCCTTTCCGTCTGGAATGTGGAGATTTCCTCTTGAGACAGAAGAAGTGCCCCACAGTGGCAACCAGTTACTGTCAGGGGTCTCTTCACTTCCTTCCTCCTGTCAAGGTAGTTGGGGAGGACGTGGTGCCCACTAAGTTATTCACACAGGTGGGCACTGATATTGGGCAGAGGAATTCACAGGACAAGGTGTGTTTCCAACTGCCTGGAAACAAAGCAGTGTCTTTTTGAAGTGCAGTAAACGGAAGCCATGTAATTGCTACCTGAGGAGTCTCCCCGGCTATCCATTCACTGTATTCAGAAAACTAGAAGCAAGTAGACTACAAATTCCAATCTGCAAACCAATTGGTGTGGAGATCAGGGTGCAAGTCAAGTAATTTCTACTCAGAATTTGCAGAAATTAAATTTTCTAAAACATCCCTGTTTCCATATCTCCTGAGATTATAGATATGCCTTTTGTGTCACATATGAGAAAGGAGATGGGATAAATGGCTTCTGCTTTCAGTCGAACATACGCTCTCCCACCCAATCAATTAAACCTTCAATCACAGCTGCTCCTTTGGCAAAAGGAGAGTTCGGCACCTACTTGCGTTTCATTTCCTCCACACTCTGCTGCATGTGGCCCAGCTGGGCTTCCATCTGCTCCTTTTCCCCCAGCAGGAAACCCAGCTGCTTGCGGAGGCTGCTGATGGCGTTTTCAAAGAGGGGCTTGAGATCTCTCCTAGCAGGGAGTGCTTGTTGTTGTAGGAAGCTCCATTTGGTTACCAGCACCTTGTTTTTCTGCTCTAGGCATCGCACCTGAAATCAGAGACGAGAAAAGCCAACTGCAACAGGGGCTGGCGTAGGGTGCACAGGGGAGAAACATACTGTGTTAGCTCTGTCAAACTGCAAAGCTATATTGCTGGTCACGGTTTCACATTTTCCATGGGATTTGCAGTCCTTGGGGAAAACTTGTGCATAGTAGGAAATCTGAGCCAATCGTACTGGGGAAGTAGTACAAATTGGAGGCAAGCATGGAGTTATTAATTTACAAATATTTTCAGTGGATGTACATCACATTGGCAGGTATCTCTGCATAGCACGGAAGTGGTCACTCTTTCCGAGCATTCTCGAGTCATATACAGCAGGCCTAGGATGGCTGCAGCACAGGATGTCTAGGCTGACTTGTAGAAAGTGTGGCCGCACACCCGAAAGAAGGGGAATAGGTCTGTCCCAGTCTGCTGCTGCAGAGGGAAATCTGCAGGCTGCAAACTATGGATCTCCAGCATTTGTGACTTCTCAGGTTTCTGACAAGCCATTCAGACATGCATCTCACTGATCTGCTTCTTTGGGATGGAAGGTGTTCTGGTTTGGTGCACCAGAACGGCACAAGGGGGATATGGCTTCATGTGCACAGCGGGCTTCTGCTGCACACAAAGAGACACACGTGTGTGTGGTTCAAATGCAGCGCACGAGTTGAATACACTTCCAAAGCATGCTCACCAAAGCATGTCTATGCACTCTCTAAACCAGTTCCAGACTCACTTAAAATATACAAGCAATGAGCCCTTAACACTCACATTGTAAAACATTGCTGGGTTTTTGTTTGTTTTTTTATGAGCAATAAAGATGTAGCACTTTTCAAACTGTTCACCCAACAGAGCATCCACGCACCGGATGACATGCACCAGCTTTCCCTGGCCCCTGGCACCAGCTGTGTGTACAAGAGGGCCATCTGCAAGGACACAGCCTCCATGTGTACACATAGGGCGAATCCATGCGCACAGTGCCATGGGTGTAATGGCTCAGTGCAGCCTGCTCCCCACTCATGCAGGGAGTTTGATTAAGAAAGGGGCGGCACATACGGAGAGAGCACCTGGATGTGAATGTGTAGCTTTTAAGACGAGGAGGTGGAAGAGCCCAGTTCATCTTGTCATGCATTTCTCTATGATTTGCTTCAGGAATGTCATTATCTCTCCCTGTCAGCTCCCGGCTGAAATTTGAAAGGCAATTATATGGGAACAACTGATCTACCCTGCAAGAAGCAAGACATCCATCCATCTGTCTACATCTCCACTTCTATTTGCCAGTGATGTTTCAAGCTGTGCTGCATTTAAGGCAGAATCATGTGGAAAAGATTAAAAGATTAAAAGGTCCCACATGCCTTTTATGCATGTTGAAAAGATTAAAAGGTCCCACATGCCAAGTAGGAAATGCTTGGAGTTGTAAGAATTGTTCTGTCTCAGCATGCATGGGATTGCACCCCTTCATGCAACCACTGCGTTCCAGGAAGTCTTCTACGGGTTGATCTGGGCACTGGAAGGAGGCATGCCAACTTTGACAGAGCCTGAAAGCACCTTAACTGGTGTTCTCTCTAGGTGCCCCCTCCTAGACCCAGCTTCCCCTTCCCAGTATCTCATACACACTCCCTTCCCTGTATTCCAAATAGCCACTGTCTTGATCCTGTCCTGATCATGGCTTGTGAGATTTGCAGGTGGTCTTCAAGGACAACACGGCTGCAGCAGTCCCTGCAAAGCACATGGTCCAGGGCAAACCACATCAAAGCTTCTTCCTTTAATGCACGGAGGGCCTGCGATCGGCACTGAGGGAAATCATCTCCAGTCCTGACCTCACACCCCATATCGCGTCTGTAACCTGGACCTTTCTGTGCCACATAGAAGATTTCCTTTCAACTCCTCCACCCTAAGTGCCCTCCAGATCTCTCCTGAAGCAACAAATTAAAACAAAGTGCCACCGTTCTGCCACCCTGGTGAAATACCTGCAGGAAGTCTGACAAAAATGAAACGAGCTTTTCCAAGGCTGGCTGAATTGGCTGGAGTGGTTTGGCAGAGGCACATCCCACCGTCACAAGAGCTCTGTGGTGTATCTGACTGAAGCTCTGACTGCAAGTGTTCTACTTCAGCATTTTCTAAACAGCTGCCACAATCTGGAAAACACTCCATTACACATTTTGAATAACTTTATTTCAGATCTTGGCTCATTTGGGTACATGGGGCACTTCAGCATTTGGGATGCTCAAGTGCTATTATTGGTATTCAGTCACAGAAGTGATAGAAGTTAACAGCTTTGATGGTTCTGAAGAGGAAAAATGCAGCCAGACCAGGACTGGATGAATCTGGAAGTTATTTGGTAATCTAAGCCCCTTTCACAGCTCAGGGAGTGCTGTCTTGATATTTACGCAGAACTCGTTTACCCCTGCTGAGGCATAAGCTAACGAAGAAAGCACAGTTTCCACTTGGCTGAAAATACGACCTCCAATGATGTCAGCTCCACTGCAGACAAGGTGATTCACTTCTGAGTAAACACGTGCATGGATGCCTTTTCCACTCGCTCTTTCTTTGAGGCAAGACAATAAAAACGGCAAAGAAGATAACTGGAAAGCTTGAAAGGACAGTCGCATTTCATTTGCTCAAAGAAGCGGGGAGGGAGGAAGCCGTGCTGCCTTTACTCTCAGTTCACCAGCAAGGCTATGGGAGGAAGCCGGCCGGCCAGGAGGCCCACCTTGCAGGTTCAGCACCCTGAAATATACTGCAGGAACACCACAGTGTGCTGAAAACTTGGGATAGAACAGGTCGCTAGGGATTCGGGATATAGTGACAAAAAGTCCTTTGAGGAAGTTGGTTTGCAGTGTGCATTTCTGTGCTGGGAGGCTCCCCTAATTCAGCTCTCCCTCTATCCTCTGTGACTGAGCTCTAGAGCACAGCATGAGGAGCCCGTGTGCTGTGTGTGTGTTTGAGTGCTGGGCAGGGCTCAGGGGATCTGGGTTGTTCTAGTCCTCACTCGGCCATGGAGCTCACTCAGTGACTCTGGGCCAGTCACTGACTTTCAGCCTGACCTACCTAACAGGGGTGTTGTCATGAGAATAAAATGGAGAGGAGACGAACCTTGTGAGCTGCCTTGAGTTCCTTACAAGAGGATGAAAGGTGGGGTATGGATGTAATGTGGTGGTGGCGGTGGTGGTGATATTAAAAATCCTGAGCAAAAAGGCAGATACGCACACACACCAAGCAGGATTTGCAACATTCAGGAGAAAGATTGTCTAGATCAGAAATTCTAAGATGCACATACAATTTCATGCACATACTTTATCATATCAGTAGAGAACAAGCACCTTCTCCAGGCGCACACCCCAAAGGACCACTCACCACCAAACGATCTCTGAGAAGGCACATCAAATGCCAGCCCCTGTTCGGAAGTGGTGGGACATTGTTCTGAACGAACAAACGAGCGAACAAATGAATGAACGAATCCAGCCACTGACCTGGTCAATGAAGCAGGCAAACTGGTTGTTGAGAGATTTCATCTGTTCCCTCTCCCTAACACGTATATTCTGCCACTCGGGGTCAACTCCTACACAAAGTGGTTTTAAGAGGAGTTCGTTGACGCCGACTCCATGGACGTGGCCATGCCAACAGCTGCCACCGTAATTTCTGCGCTCAGTGTGGCTTCTGGGAATGCCGTAATGCATGTCCCCACCAAAGCTCTGATGAAGATGAGGAAAGGCATGTCTGCCACTGAGACTCCCAGAGCCCCCAGTTTGGCAGCCTCCACCGCAAGGAATTCTCCTGCTGCCGCCTATGTTGAAGAGACTTCTGGTGCTAGAGCCCCCCAGTCCACCTCTTCCACCAGACTGAGACAGGGAAGCTACAATCATCCTGCCTCGGTTTGGCCAACAAATGTCCGAAGTGGAAGGGAAGCCTCTTCTTCCTGAGAGCGAGTTTGCCGCATGCAGTTGTCGGCTCATGCCTAAGAAAGTTGCGTGAGACGATACTGGTGCTGCAGGAGAGAGAAAGGAGAAGATCCCCTCTGATGGGACACTCTTAGATTTCTGCTTTATATCTTCTTGTACTCTCTGGGCTTGGTTGATTCAGGAAAAGGAACATGAGGCCTTCCTTTGGGTTTGGTTTGCCTGCTAGCTATAAATCCCATTGCAAAACAGCAACATACCCAAGAAGAGAAATCCTAGTGAAATGGCAAGGGATCTATATTTAAAATGCTTAGTTTGCACCTCCAGAATGTCTTGAAGGGTTACCTACATTTTTAATGTGTGTGCATGTGAAGCAAAATAAACATTTTAAATAGTAGCTAGTAATACAAAGGTAAAGGAGATACACACACACACACATCTTAGTTTGCATATCCAGTGCACAAGACATTATGCATTTTAAGAATTCTCTCCATCTAAATTAATTATAGCCTAGTAAACTGATTCCAGAGTTTCCTGTTTATCTGGTGTGTTTTTGTAAGCCGCCCCCCTGTACCACCACAATATTAGGTAATGCTGATAATAATGCTTACTGAAATTCCCTTTTTCTAAGGTGCAGTATAAGACAGCTCTTGTTGGTTCTTTCCTTGAGACTCAGCACTTACACCGAAAGTACAGGCCTATGCTATACATGATTCCTTAGAGTCTGCGTGGGATGAGAATTTGACTGCTGCAGACCTCCTGATCAGAGGAGGTGTAGCTGCAGGGCTCGCTTTCCCCATCCTTCTGGGAAGAACTGGCAGCAGACCTGAGACTGCAGACGTAAGGAGAGAGGATGCTCTGGCCCCATCTGCTAGCTAAAGGAACAGGAGCTGCCATTCAGTGCAAGAAGACCAGCAAGCAAAGATCATCCTGGCCCTAACTGGACATAAATGCTTGCTTATAGCTCACCTCTTTCTTCTGGTCAAAGAAGTGATCTCCCAACTCTGCCTTTTCCCCTCTACTTCCCTTCCCTTCAGTGTGTTGTCCTTTTATTTGTAGAGATTCATAGAATCATAGAATAGTAGGGTTGGAAGGAGCCAAGAGGACCATAGGGTTCAATCTCCTGCTGGTGCAGGTTGCCAAGTCGCACCATCCCTCTCAGTTGACTGTCCAGTTTTGTCTTAAATGTCTCTGGTGTGGGAGAGCCCCCCACCTCTCCAGGCAGCTGGTTCTGCTAGCGTACTGCTCTGACAGTGAGGAAGCTTTTCCTGGTGTCTGTCCTGAATCTGGTGTGCTGCGGTTTATCTGTTCCATGTCCTACACTCTGGGATGAGTGAGAAGAGGTCTTTTCTTTCCTCTTTGTGACAGCCTTTGAGGGACTTGTGGAGTGCTATCACATCCCCTTGTAGTCTTCGGTTCTCAAAGCTAAACATGTCCAGCTCTCTTAGCTTATCAACGTAGGACTTTGTTTCCAGACCTTGGATCCGCAAGTAATGCTCTAGGGATGCAATTGGTGGAATAGGCAGGATATTTTAATAAATAAATTAATAAATAAAATACCAGGGAGGACCATGGGTGCTACATTGAGCTCCCCTAGAGGAAGGTTTGGATATGAATGAATGCAGTAAATAAAAGCATGGTGATTATGTGGACTCCTTTTCCCCAATTCTTTTAATACGTTGGGGTTTCACATGACTAGAGGGAGGTACCCTCCTTCATAAGCATGTTTATGGAGAACACCTTGTATATATGTTCCCCTCTCCCTTTAAAGAGTTCCCCATCGAATGAGGAGGACTTCTCCTCTCCTCGCCTCTCCTCTATCTCCTCTCCTCTCCCCCTACCCTTATTCTCTTTCTTCCTTTTTCTTATTAAATGATATTGTGGAAAGGACTTGATGACTCTTATGATCAGACTGAAGACTGGGTCAAAAGGCCCTCAGCCTTCCCTTCCCCCTTGCAGCCTGGCTTTCTGGCTTAAGTCAATAGGAGCAATTTGGCTCACAGCTCTCAGATGAATCACATGAGGATCATCCTTCAAAGTCACCTTTCCCAAACATGGTGGCCCCCTCCATCAGCTTCAGCTTCTGTCAACTCCAACCAGCAATGTCAATAGCCAAGAAAACTGAGAGTTGTCATCCTAAAGGTCTGGAGGGCACGGGTTGGAGAAGGCTACTTAAAATTATTTTGTTTTTCACTTTATGACATGTTCAGTGGCATATCTTCTCTGGCTATTTTCAGATTATATTGGGATGTAGGGATTCTCCTAACTTGAGATGGTTTCATCCACGAGACAGGATTTTAAAAGCTTACAGGACAAGCATGGCTAGGTAAAAAATGCCAAAATCAGAAGCTGGTGCTTGTGTGTACCATGAATTTATCTGCCATCGTTCAAGTGCTGCCTGGTACAGTGTGTCTCTCTTGCCAGGTGTGATGGTCCCAAGAGCCTAAGCAACAGGTCTGGAGCCAAGGGTTGGATTCCGTGAGCCCTGGTGAACTAGCATCACTCTGCTTACATGTGCTGGAGGAGCATCTCCTCCATCCCATCCCATCCTTGCATTAAGAGCTCTAGAGCAGGAGCAGGATGAAGCCTGGCAGAATCCATCCTTCCAGCATTCATGGACTCCCCTTCATACCTGGTCCATTCTTAGAAAGCTGAAAGGAAGCCCACGGATGCCTGAAGAACACAGGTTGTACAAACGGCAGCCTTGTTCTGTGTCACAAAGGCGCTGAAGGTGGCATGGAATAAAGATGCTGGGGGTTGCCTGGGGCTCCATCCCTGGGAAGCCTCTCATGAACAGCCTTCTTCCAGGCCAGGTGCAGCACATGATGCAGAAGGGGGACACTGCGTGGGCGGCGCACGGGGCTCGATTTGCAGTGAGCGTCCCAGGAATGGTGGGTGTGCTCACTGGGAACTCAGACTCAAACCAGTGTCCAGGGAGCCGTGCTCAGGGAACCCAACTGATTCCTAGCCCCATTCCTCATGCAAACCTGCTTTGGAGTACCTTTCTCTGAGCACCATTGGTAGATGAAGTGCATGATACCTGCTCAAAGGAGAGCACCTTATCTGTGGTGGTCCCCTGACTTTGGACCATCTTCCACTTAGGACCAGATAGTTTAATTAACCAAAGCATTTAAACCGGTTTGATTGCCCCATCTACAGTTTCAGGATAGTGTTGCATTACTGTTTTATGGAACATGATGACAGGGTATCTTTATCCCATTTGCACAATTGTACGTTGCCCTGGAATCTGTAAGTGTGAAGTGCAATCCACACTTCCACTACCACCAAGAACCACCACATGGGCTTGGATCCACGATTTCTCTTCCATGAGATGATGGGATCTTCTGCAGGAGGAAAGGTTCTGCCCTAGGAAGGTCCTTCCACCTAAACCGGGGGATTTTCAGGGGGCTGGAGAGGCTGCCCAGAGAAGGACGGGCAGGGAAGTCTACTTGCATCGGTGCAGCAGATGCAGCTTAAATCCAGATCCAGCCCAAGGAAGCAAGAACAACAGCTAAATGCTTTAGAAGAGGATAGAACTATCACTAGGCACATCATTTCTATCCAGAATTGTTCTGTGTCGTACAGACAAGGAATAGACTGGAGTGCAGTGTATCTAGAAGGTGCCCTCCAGTGGCATCCATGCGAAGATTTTTGCACTCAACCGAAAGCACAGGCAGCCCTGAAACACAAGACCAAGCCTGCCAGGGCTGCTGAGATTTAAAACCAGTAGAACCAGAAGCACTTATTACTGGAGGAGAAGGGAGGTTTGTGAATACACTGGACTGACAGAAAAACTAACAAGTGGGTTCTAGATCAAATCTATCCAGAGCTTTTGCCGGAAACGAAAATGTCAAAACTGAGACTTTCATGCTTTGGGCCGTCATGAGAAAGTGAACTCCCTGGGGAAGACAATCATGCTAAGGAAAACAGAAAAAAGGCACTATAAAGGAAACCGCAGCCTTGAATTTAGAAGAACTGAGCAGGACTGTCATGGGTAGGATCGCCACAAGTTGAAGACAACTTGATGGCACATTGCTACAACATATCTATAAGAAATACTGGGCTCAAGCCAAGGTAATGCAGGTGGACCTCCACTCCTGAAGCAAGAACCCCCCTGAGCTGCTCCCCACTAGAGCCCCCTGCAAGCCCCCCAAGTCTGCTTAGGAAGGTCCTCCAACCCTCTGCAGTGTACCCTCTGAATGTGCGACACAGAAAGCCAGGGGCCCCTGCTGAATGAGATGTAACTGTGGTGACCAAGCGACAGGTTGAGCCTCCCTACACTGGGTGGGAGCAGAAGGCAGATCCTGGATCCAACCCCGAGGTCATTTCCTTGATGCATGCCAAGCCAGTGATGTGGAGTATTTGCTAAAGTTAGTAATTTGCACTTTGCTTCTCTTTCTCTGGAAAAAGACAGTTTAAAAACATGCATGGCTTAGAATGTTGAAGTAAATTTAAAATTCACTGTTTGGTAAGCGAAAGAAGAATATGCTTGAAACAAGTTCTTCCAAAGTTTGCACAAATTGCTCATGTGTGTCTCTCCTTCCTCACTAGGTGGTGCTAGTGAATGTATATCATGCCTTGACTTTATTAGCCTTGCTTGCTTAGTTATGACTCATATTCCAAGTGAAATGATCCATCATGATCTGTCTACTGATGAGAACACAAGTCATCATTATCAAAGAATCATAGAGTTGAAGTGGCCATCTAGTTCACCCCCCCCCCCCACACACACACACACACCAACTTACACACACCAACTTGACACAGAAAATCCAGCAATGGAGCATCTCCATAGATGGCTACCTAACCTCTGCTTGAAGATCTCATGGGAGAGACCTCTTCTCAAGCAAACTGGTTCCATTATCAAACTGTCCTTAGCATTAACGCATTTCTCCAAATGGCCAACCCAAGTCTAGTGTCCAGTAACTTAAGCCCATCAGATCTTCTCCTGCCCTTTCCATCAGCAAAGAACTGAGTATGGGACTGCCTTTCAAGTATTTCAAGAGTGATCTCATGTTAGCCGTAAGAGAACCATTCCCAGTTCCTTCCACTTTTCCCTGATAGGACTCATCTTCCATAACTCTGCCCACCTTCACTGCCTTCCCCTACATGGCTTCTCCATGTCCCTCTCGTAGTGAGGCAGCCATTCACCCAATGAACGATGGACCTGCATGGAAGTCCTTTGAGCCCATGTTCTTCGAGATCAGTCTGCACATATGCACAATGGCCTGGTGTTTACTTGGGACATGCGCAAGCTCACCAAAGTGCTCCAAATGCCACCTTGGCTCCAATGCTCCCAACTGTAGCCCATGTCAGATTCCAAGGTTTCTTCCCTTGTGTGTGTGCATGCACCCACACACATGCATGCATGCATTTTTCTGTATTTTTTCCAAAAGTGCACATCGACTGTGCGTATCTTTCAAATGTACACATCCTTCCCCATCAATTAAAGTGTGCTTATGGAGGGTTTTCAAAAATACGTATTTGTTTTGCTGAATATTTTCAAATGAACTCCTGCTGTCAAATGTGCACAGATTGCATTGCACTTTTTTGATGGACAATGTGATGTACAGTCAAAAATGTACATACTTGGACCGCATTTGCATTCAAGTCTATGATGGGTCCAGAAGGGGAGAACTGGATAAATAAAAAAATGAACTGAAACAATTTTCTCTTACATCCTTAGTGGTTACCTGACCCTACAAAGAAAATTGGTAAAGCAGAACAGGCAGTTGCTGCAGAGCACCAGAGAGAAAAGGTTTATTTATTTAGGGCCGTCCCCAGCATAAGAAAGGGGTCTGGTTGGAACAATTAAGAAAAAGGCTCAAGTGAATAATAGCTTCGTTTACCTTCTCCATCCCAATATGCAGCTTCTAAAGACAAGCAGCTTCTTTGGTAGTACAGGTCACTGCAGCACCATGGAGCTCAACTGGGGACCACCTTAGCAGGTCCAGAGGCAGACCAGATGGGATGTTGGCAGACCTGCCTCTTGAAGCGCAGGCCTGTCCCAAGCACGCCGAGAGCCCTGCTTTAAGCACAGTGGGGGCCACTTTAGCCTGAGACAGGGAGTGAAGTGAGCCCAAGGTCCTATCAAGATGTCCTTTGGTCCTGCAGTGTGAGCAGTGTAGAAATGCATCAGCCCACCTTGGCAACAGACGCAAAGGAAGAGATAAAGTGACCTATGCTGTGGTCTGAAGAAAAAACAGAATTACTTAAAAAAAAAAAAACTCACGGGGATTTACTAATAAACATTTGGAAACAAAGTCAAGTAATTCATCACCCCAAGTAGCCACCAAAATAATGTCCTGGTGGGAGAACTGCCCACAGAAAACCTTGATGATCCATACGTCTCTGATACTGTTGTCTGAGACTAAAAAATTGACTCTCCACTCAGCCTACCTTACAGGGTTGTTGTTGTGGGGATAAGACGGAGAGCAGCAGGAGGGGAATGATGTGAGCCTCTCTGAGTTCTTTAAACTCAGAGTTTAAAAAAAGAAAAAGGCGGGATAGAAACCTAATAAATAAATAAATGGTATCAGGTTTTTCCAGACCAACAAAGCCTTGGACTTCACAAACAAAAACAGAGCCCTCAAAATTCCCTATGGAAGTGGTGGGCAACTTGTGGCCTTCCATATATTTTGGCCTACGGCAGACATGATCTTTCACCATTGACCATGCCAGCTGGTGAGAGTCGTGGGCTGGAACATCTGGGGGGCTACAACTTGCCCATTTCTGCCCTAATGTATCCTCCCCTCTTGACAGGTGTTCTGGAAGAGAAGGAGAGTGGGCATAACCCCACCTTCTTTGCCAGTGTCTCCCCCCGCTAACCAGATGTCAGAGGGAAAACCTCTGCCCTGCAGCTGGAATGCTTCCCCCCCCCCCCCCCGTGCAGGCTGGACTGCGCAGTGCAGGACCCTGGGGGACCTCGGCTCTGAATGGCACAAGCGACTTACACAAGGGGAGGAATTTCCCCACTGCAGGCTTTCAGCCCCCGACAGGTGAGGAGCTGGCATGGCAGCAGGGAAGCACGGAGCACCAACGCCCGTCCCACCCGCCCATTGCAAGTGCAAAGGGCTCAGGTCACTCTCATTTTCAGTTTTTCAGGCCAAACACATGGGTGAATAAAGCTTCAGAGGTTCCACGAGCAGGCAAAGAAACTGCTCCCCTCCCCAGGGAACAGTTGGTGGACCAGTTTCCTGCATCCCTCACTCGGCATCTGCTCCTGGTACTGCAGCTCCCATTTCCAGAGATGTGCCCCTGTATCTCCAGTGGTGCATGGGGTACCACAAGAGACCCTCCCCCTCCCCAACAGAGATCATAGCTGAAATGGAAGTTCTCCAAAGAAGTTGAGGTTTTCCCCCCGTCCCTGCTTGCAGAATTTTCTCTGAATATTCTCTACTATTAAAATGATTAAAACATCAGTGGCGGCCACCCTTCTCCATCTGCTACACCTTGGGATGATACTGAGTTTGGGGTCTGGTGGAGGACGCAGAATGGTGGCCAAGCTGCCCACAGAGTTGCTGTTGTCACTTGCAGTGGTAGCCCAAACCAAACCAAAGCCCTTATGAAAAAAAAGAAAGCAGATGTGATTCTCTCACTGAAAAAGTGAGGACCCCTCTCAACTACTAAAGAGAAACGGTTAGAGAATGCCTCCTCCAGATAGAGCAGTGTGGTGAAAAGAGCCCAGAATATCTGCCAGCAAGCAGGATGGAGGGTTTCAAGGGGGTGCTGGTGCCCAGCTCTAATACAGGCCACCAGAGCTCCCAGGGGCATAGCTCCCCCCAGTGCAGCCTTCTTTGCTCTGAGTGGGGTAGGGTCTAGCTAGAGAACTGCCTCCAGAGAGCCCTGTGCTGCAAAGGCCACCCTCGGAGGAAATGCATACCCTGCTTTGCTGGCAGTACCTTCTGCTCCGAGAACTATACCCTCCCCCTCCAGCACACCCCACGTCAACTGGGCCACAATCTATAGGTTCACAGGGGACCGCAGCATTGACACCACATTGCCCAAACCCAGAGCTCGTGGGGCATCTAGAAAGCTGTCCTCCACTCCTAGAACTATATCCAGTTTTGTAAGGAAGCTTTCCGCTCTTGGAGCTGAATCTTGCGCTTCTTCTGATGTTTCCGTAGGTGCAGCTCCTTCCAAATCCAGATCCCCCCAAGGTGTCACTGCCCGAGGGTCCAGCAGGAACAGAGATGTTGGGGCAACCCACCACAGCTTCAGGAGGAGAAAAATGGCATCTTGTTACTTAGGCACAGGTAGGGCCTTAGGCAGTGAAATGTCTGGCATGTTATTCAAAATAGTATGGGGTGTATTTTTAAACTGAAGTTACTTACATATGTTAACAGGAGTAGAATTGTATAACCTGCAGAGAAAAGGGAACAGGTATTTGTTAATGTTCCAAGAAGCTACTCATGTGTCCTGGAAGTTTGTGCAGATGAGGTAAGGACACATGAATGGCAAGATTTTATTTTTACTATTATATCTGAAATACTTTCTATCCTCATCTTTGGAGCTTGATGTTGACAGATAGTGACCAATGTAAAGGCTAGCATTGTTTTATCGGTGTGCAAAGGCCATTGTTTAGAGTGAGCCAGGAATAAGTGAGATAATTGATACAGTGCTTCTCCTTGAATGCCAAATACCCACTAATTAGTTCAGCTTGATTACAGTATACTAACATTCCAAAAGCTATATTAGCAGAGTTTATCTAAAGTGCAGCAGGACACCTGGTGCAGTTGTAAAAAAAAGCAGTGGAAAATAAATTTTGTGCCTTTGGGACTATGAACATCTTTCTATTTACTGTTTTCACTGGGAAAATTCTGGGAGATGCTCATGCACTAGCGATGGGGGAGGGTTGGAAATGCATCAGATTCTTGTGCAGTTGAAAACAGTCCCTAGATTAAACCTTGAAATTAAGCAATGAAAATGCTTAGCCAGGTGTGGATGCTTGTGTTTTGCCCACCTGCTCTCTTCCCCTTCCAGAAGGGACCTGTACATCTCGATCTCAATATCCAGGCCCATCTTAACATTGAGCATTTTCTGGTAGTCCCTCAGCAGGCAAGCAAGCTCGTCCTTCGCGGACTGCAGGGCATTCTCCATCTCAGTGAGTTTCGCCTTGGCGTCCTTCAAGGCACACTCGCCACGCTGCTCATTGTCAGCAATAGAGGTCTGGATCAGGTCGATCTTGAAAGGGCACAGTTGAAAAAGAGCCGATTCATGAGAAAAATCCTCAACATGATACAGGTGCTGACACCAAAAGAGTACGAAGGGCCCGTGTGATGCCTCCTGGTACATCCTAGGTGAGGGGGCGCATGCAGCCCTCTGGGTCTTATGGGTGGCTTCTCATGACACCCACAGCAGAAACTCCCATGTCATTTCCCACCCCTCTGCCAAAGGCTTTCTAAACTCCTCTTAAAAGTAACCACAGAGTAGGCCAACCATCTGCCACTTGGAAGGAAATTCCCCTGGGGGAGCAGTCCCTGCTGAAAAGCCCCCAGCTTGAGAGGTTCTCCGCACAGCTGATCAGGGTGGAAGTCCAACAGGCAGAGCCACTGTGGATGATCTTAAAACTTAGGCAGACTCCTGTGGGTGTAGACAGTTCTTTAGGTAACCCAGATCCGAATCATTTAGAGCTTCAAGGGTTTAAGCATGTGGAATCTAAGGAGCTAGTCCGGGGCATTTTGATAGAACAGCAAAGACGTCTTCACAAAACAGCTGCTGCGGGGTGGAGAATTGCCCCTTTGTAATTGGCTGCCATGAAAGCCACATCTGGTCATAAGACATTCTTTTCACAGAAGGCAAAGTGGTACGACTGAATGGAAAGGAACCTTCTCAAGACCCAAAGGAAAAGGTGGAGGGTTGGAGCACCAGGACACAAACGCCTTTTCCTCACCTAAATAAAGTTGTTTTCACTGGGCAGCACTTGGTCTTAGCAACTGCCAACCTCCCAATAAAAAGAAAATGGTATTTTAAACAATCTTAACTAATACGATGAAAACCAAGAGGGGCAAGGAGTTTGGTGGGTGCCAATGATGCCCAAGGGTGCAACACTGGAGACCCACCAATTTAGCATGATAAAAAGATTTCTCAAGTATTGACTGCAGAAAGGTAATGCCTAGACTTTTGACCTTAGCATTTCCCTTGCTGTTGGAACCCTTTGGCCACAATAATTCTCCTGCAAGCAAAGAGCTAGGCTTGGACACTGCTGCACAGGAGGCATGGCAAGAACTGGACCCTTGGTCACTTAAGGCTGTGTGAGGTGCCCAGTTCCTATATTAATTTTTACTTTATATATATGTTTGTTTCTTTGTGTTCTATCTGGAGATCTGTTGAGTCCCAAAAAAGGGCCCCCTTGCTTCTGCACCTTCTTCTGGACTGCAGGACCCCCCTCACCTGCTTCTTGGTGGTTTCCATGTCACCCTTGAGCCTTTGGATGAGGCGGGTCAGGTCTTGGATCTCCCGGCGGCAGCCGCACAAGTCCTTGCACTGGCGTCCCCACATGCTCTGCAGCTCTTGATACTGAAGAGAGGAGGAAAGGAGGGCCTTGGGTTGTGCAGCTTTGGACTGAGCCATGTCATCTCACGGGTGGCCAAGGCCACCCACTCCCCGCCACTGCAGGCCGGCCTACGGCAAGGTTACCTTGCTTTCATAGAGGCTGTTGACCTCGTCCTTGCTTCTCTGGGCAATCTCCTCATACTGACACCTCACAGAGTCAATGATGCCCTCCATGTCCAGCTCCCGACTGTTGTCCATGGACACGATAACATTTGTGTCCTCCGTCGTGGTCTGCAAGCTTTCCAGTTCCTGCCAGTAAAGCGTCAGAAGACATTTCCAGCAATTTAGCTAACAAAAACGGGATAGATTGCTTTGAGGGTCCCTCTTCAGCCAGTGGAAGTCATTGAGGGTTGCATTCTCAATGGGCACCAGGCCACACACACACACACAGAGAGAGAGAGAGAGAGAGGGGGGAGAGAGGGGATTTGCAACTCCCAGTGTTTCCATATTTTTGGTTTAGCTGTAAAAAGGAGCCAGCCTGGTTTGGTTGTAAAGAAGCAACCTTTTCTTTTTCTGCTCTGCTACTGCACTGCTTAAACTTAGCAGCAGACACAGGGAAACAAGTATAATTCCTGGCAGTCCAGGGAGTAACTGATTGCAGGACCCTCAAAAAGCTGCCCCCCATCTGCTTTTCATGTTTGTGTTTCATCTTTCAATGCACCTGGGTGCTTAAAAGTAAGGTAAAGGTAAAGGTTTCCCTGGCACATGCTTGCTAGTCGTGTCTGACTCCAGGGGCGGTGCTCACCTCCATTACAAGCTGAAGATGCAGTGTTGTCCGAGGATGCTTCCTTGCTCATGTGGCTGGCATGGCCGAACGCTTTCCTGCACGGAATGCTGTTACCTTCCCACCAAAGTGCCACCTATTTTATCTACTTGCATTTGCATGCTAGGCTGGCGGAGGCCGGAGTGACGAAGAGATGCCTCCATTATACAGCACTAGGGATTCGAACTGCCAAACTGCCAACCTTCTGGTCAACAAGCTCAGCACCCTGCATGCTGAGCCACCGTGCTTAAAAGTACCTGGCTGAAAATGCAGTTTTAGATCTCAGCACATGCAGCAGGAGTTCCATAGCCGGCTACTGCTAGATAATGTCAAGTTCAGCCATGGACTGCACAGATGTTGCCCGAGGTGTCCCTTTCTCATCACCACCCATATTGGAAAAACTTCAGCCATTTTTTCAACCCATCGGTGGGCTCAAATAGTCCCCCATCTGGGGATGCACCAAAACAGGGAAGCCCACTCGGCTGGGCTTGAAGGATTTCCTGCCTGTTTGCAATCCTCCATTCAGACTGAGACTGAGCTGGGGGAATGGAGCTGGGAGTTTACAGCCTTCCGTCTATAGACAGACTGCCATTTGTGCATTTTTGTAAACACAAATGACATTTGAGTGAATACATGCCTTGAGGGTTTGGTGCAATCTGTGCAGAATACGCTGAGCCGTGTGGTTGTGGGATGTTTAGATTTCATCAACAGTTTAAGCAATGGAGCAAATTGTGGACTGTCTCAGAAATAAAAGTCTGTGAGCTGTCTCTGCTCACACCTCAGCCACGTGGCACCAGCACAGGAATCTTGCCGGGAAGGGTGAATTGCAGAAACTGGTCAGATTTTCACTCCCAGTCATGTTCCTCACACACATCTGTCCCCTCCCATTCCTGCCAGCTGTCACCTCTCCTCTCCCCTTCCCCAGGTCCTGTCCTGCTTGAAGAGCAATGCCCAGGTACATGGAAACCGTCTTAGGGACTTCATTCCTGTTTCCTCCGAGCACTGTTTCCAAACACACTTGGGTTCTTGTGTGTTTTGTATTTTCCTTTCCCAGTAAACTTGCTCTCTGTTACAGCTGGTTGTTTGTGTGCTGCATTCTCAATGGCCACAGTATGAAACTGACAGTCTTCTTCTTGGTTCATACAATTTAAGGTAGTAATGTTGACATATAAAGCCCTAAATGGTTTGGGGCCTGGATATTTGAAGGAATGTCTCCTTCTATATACTCCTGTCCAAACTCTAAGATCTTCCTCTGAGGTCCTTCTTTGGGAGCCCTCTCTGAAGGATGTTAGAAGACTGGCTACCCAGAGAAGGGCCTTCTCTGTGGAGGCACCCCAGCTTGGAACCTGCTCCCCAGAGAGGTTTGCCTGGTGCCAATGTTTTATTCTTTTCAGCACCAGGCCAAAAAACTTTGCATTCACCATTATTTTAAGGGCTGATTTTTTATTAGATGATTGAGATTATTTTACTGTATATTTTAATATTGCTTCTGTATTTTACCGTGCTGTTATGTTTTTGGTTTGTAAGCCATCTTGAGAGCCATTTCAGATAAAGACAGGTTTTAAATAAACAAATGAAAGGGCTTAAGGATTCAGGTCCTCAAACCGAAAGGTGCAAGTTTGCCTCATGCATCGCACAGGCTCAGCCAGAAGCATGGCAAGGAGGTTACCAGCATCCTTCCTCTGGGATGCTGGTAAAGTTCACCCCACCGCTTGCTGACTGGTACTTGTTTCCCTGCCATTCTTCCGGTGGAGCCCCTACAAACCAGGATGTCCTGCGAGGTCTGAAACTTCCTCACCCTGAGGAAAGTAGGAGGTGGTGGCAGCCTGCCTGGCAGGGTCGGTGTTCAGCCTGAGCGGCTTCTCACCCCTTCCTGCACTGCGGGGCCTGGGGCAGCTGCCTCCCTCCCTCTGTTCCTATGTAAATGGAGGGAAGCCGGAGCTGCATGTTTGGCTGATGGAGAAAGTGCTTTGCAGTAGGAGGGCTGGCAGGGAGCTGGCAGGGAAGGTAGAAATTCTCTCCAATTTGGATTTTATCCAGGCCAGGAAAGTATTTGGGGGCTAAGTTGAGACAGTCTTCTGTGAGCTCCTGACATTCACATCCAGGCCAGCCATGACTTGGCAGTTATTAAACTTGCCTTCTCAATACACTATTTCAGTTGGTAAGTTATTGCAGGGCAATATTAATCACTGCAGATGTAATTTCTGAAGGCCTGGAGTGGGGAAACCAATGAAAAGAAACATCTAGAGCCCTGGGGGAAATGTGGGGTCTTGATTTTTCCCAGGTTTTTTCCAAGCCTTCAAATCTCTAAGCAAGACTCACCCTGCACCTGCTATTCCCAAAGCAAGATAAAACTCTGCCCTCTTTGAGTCTCCTGACACACTCATAAGATCTGAGCAAGAGAGGAACTCTCCTCTGTCCATTGATAAGGGGTGGTGGGGAAGGACAGAAGACTCTCTCTCTAGCCACTTTTGTCCAATCTACCAAGTAGAACAGAAGAAGCCTAAAATATCCTTCTTTTGGAAGAAAAGGAAAGAATAAAGGAGGGGGGCACCTACCGCTTCATGGACACATCTGAGAAAGTCTAACTCCTTTCTCAGGGCTTCCACCTTCACCTCCAACTCCACTTTGTTACTGTAGGCACAGTCCACATCCTGAAAGACACAGCACAATAACTCTTGTTGTTGTAACTCAACAGTTGTTCCTTAAGAGAGAGAAAGCAGTGCTTGCGTACGTTGCGACCTGTGCCTTTGTTGAGGCAGACCATCACATCAGATAATAAAGTACCGAAGGCTTCAGGCCTCTATACACACTTATCTGGGAGTAAATCCCATGGAACTCAATGAGACTTTCCTCAGAGTTGTTGTGAATAGGATTGCAATGCTATTCTTATCCCGAGTGAAGGTGGGGAAGAGGGGATGTGATCTGGTTTAGGGACCCTTTCCATCAGTTTTCAGCTTCTCAGTTTTCATGGGAAACGCAGCAAAATAGATGCTCACATATTCTGTCGCATTTGAGGCAGCCCTCACAATTGATGCATGGATGCAGGTCTCTTGGAACTCGGGGAGGGGGTTGTATGGGCGTGCATAGGAGCAGCCCACCACTCATTCCCACAGCATGTTTGTGCAGCTTTCCCAGCATGAATGCCATTGTGTTCGTATCTCTGACCCAACAGCTGATTTGTACAAGCTCTCGGAAGTGCATTCAGAAAGTATCCCGGCACTGCAATCCATCAGTACAGGAATTATGGAGAACTGAGAGGCTTGTGCAGTATCGCATCACCTTTGCATTGGCCTAATAAAGCTATCATGGTGCTACAGATTCTAGGAAATTTTCTTTTGGTGCATATGGTACAAATCTATCTTTTCTGCCAAACATTTGATGCAATCTGGTTTTTTCTTTTGAGTGCAGAAGGAGGTAGGGAGAGCCTTGCTGGGCCACACCGAAGGGCACCCTACCCACCAGTATTTCCTCCCAGTAGCCACCAGATCACACTGGAGAACCCAGGCACTAGGAAGGCTTGTGATGGCCATTCTGCCTCTGAGTCCTTTCCCATTCCAAATGCCTTCCCCACATTCTGATGCCCCGAACAACTAACCTTCTTCAGCACCACAAATTCGTTTTCCGCAGCCACACGCCGGTTGATCACAGCTTCATACCTTGGAATGGAAAGGAAAGAGATCATTGTTCCCTGAGAGTTTGGCCTGCCATAATTAAACCTAACTATGCTGCAAAATGCCAACGCATTTGAGAGCTGGTGTTGCCCCATGCTGGACTTATACTGGGCAGAACTGGTTCCCAGCTGCTGCCTGGCCAAGAAGGGCACGGTGAAAGAAGAGGGAGGACTTGACTCACCAATCATTTTAATTGCTTTGTATGTACTGCATGTTTTTACTGCCCAAGAGCAAAAATCCCCTAGGATTCCTCTCTGCTTACTTGCATTTGTAGTCTTCAACCATCTCCTGAAATTTAGTTTTTTCCAGTTGCAGTTGTTCCCTGTCATTCAACAAGCGATCCAGCTGTCTCTGCAGGACTCCCAGGTAATTAGTGAACAGATGGTCCAGGGTCTTCTTCTCCTTGGGGGCCTGCTGTTGCAGGCAGTTCCACTTGGTCTCCAAAAGCTTGTTCTGCTGCTCCACGTGCCGCACCTGTGTCCAGAGAGGGACCGGGGTGAGCCTGGGGTCTCACACACTGCCTATTGGGACAGGCCTCGCCACGCGCTTTGCAAATTAGGGAGAAGTGAGCTGGATAATAATGAAGCGGAATGAAGAAGGGACTCAGAGAAGCAGGTGCCCTCCTGTTGCTTTGGACAACTACTCCCTTCAGCCCCAGGTAGCACGGCCAGTGCTATGGGAGCTGAAGTCCAAAATACCCAGGGGCACCTGCCTGCCAAAACCACGTCAAGCCTTAAAAGGTTGCCGTTTGATTCCGGGACGCCTGGCCAAACCCTTAGGAGATGTTGCAACCTGAGAATGAATAATGTACTTTCACCTGAAGTATGCAATATGTTAAGAAGAGAGCGGTGGTGCTTGAATATGCCATTGAAAAAGCACAGGATTTGCATATAAACAGGGGGCCAGGTCTGCATCGCATCCCTGTGCATGTTTACTGGGTAGCAGGCCCGGCCGCTTTCAGTGGGACTTTGTCCCTGGCAAGGGAATCAGGGCTGCAGCCTTAATCCACTGAATGGGTAGATTAGCCAATGTTTGCGGCTATGCTCTAGCTATCAGTGGATGGGCAGCGTTGAACACAGTAAGGCTGGCTTCCAGAGCCAGTCCTGCCATTAGGCAGCATCAGGTTGAAGAGAAAGCAACCCAGAAGGGAAGGTGTGCTGTGTGGTACCCGAGGGGAAAACGGGGCCAGAGGCTGCACAGCACATGCTGCAGAATCCATGCCTCTGCTGCTCTCTTGCTCTGGGATTGCTGGAGAGACAGTTGCTCGGTGCTGCTGGATGTCACGCCACCCCATATCTTTCCCTGCATGGAGCTCGACACTTCCAGCAATGGTGCCATCAGGTCAGGACTTTAAGGCAGATGTACAGGGCCCCACACAGCAAAGCAAGCAGGAAGGGCTCCAAAACAGGAGGCTTGGCTCCCCATATTTTGCAGTAAGTGAAGGAATACACACTGCCATCTAAAAAGGACAGGCTCCCCATAAGATCACCAAGTCCAAAATGTACAATTGCATAGCTGTAGTTCTGGCTCTGTGGTTACCGGAGCTGCTCTGGACTGTATTGTTACCATCACCAATACACTGCTTCAGTTGGCAAGTTATTGCAGGCCAATTTTAATCAGTGCAGAGGTGATTTGGTAGCTCATTAGTTAATACAAAAGCTATGTGGCCCTAGCATGGTTCTACAACTGGGAAGTTCACCTTTATATTTTGAAGGGACACGTGCGGTTTTGTCATTATGCAAAGTTATTTGACCTAAATTGATTAAGCAGCTGATGCTAAGTAAGACCAAGAGAGCCCATACAAAAGCAAATGGAAATGACAAATCAACCAACCATCAGATCAGAACTGGATAAGCAAATACAATGCTTCAAAAAGACAAGGAGAAATGTGGTCACCGTTTGAAGAACTCGGAAACTATGGCAGAACACAATTATGTAGCCTTCTGTTCCCCCCCAACCCCCACCCCCACAAAAGCCCCTGTGCAAAAAGAATGGCAGAATCAGGTTGCAGAAGGGTTGTAAAATAAAGTCATTCTTTGAATCCCAAACAGTATCTAGAAGGCCACAGCAGTTTCAGCTTTGGGGTCAAAAACCAGTTGCACCCCTGGAATTGGGGATCACAGCGTGGAGCACTCCACACTCATCTGGCTACTTCTCTGGGGTCATGATAGTAGCCTCAAAGAAGTGGCTTGGGGGGCATTTTAAGGGGCATGGAAGTGGGGAGACCAGCAGCACCAAGGCACAGATATCCTGGCAGTGCCTCCATTTAGCTTCCCCCTGAACTGCTCTGGTTAGGCAGCCAAGATCAGTCCTCCACCTGCTTTGCAGGGTGCGAGGAATGCCCAGGCCGCCAGCACCTTCACACTACTCCTGCCCACCAGGAGATGCCCATAGTCCTGAGTTGGGAATGTGATGGGCAACCTCACTGGGTTATGCCCAAGACTAAATTTTCAGTAGCGGCTGCTGAAAAGAATAAAGCGCCACGGACAATGGTTACGGTGTCTCACCTTATCAATGAACCCAGCAAACTTGTCATTGAGCGTTTTGATCTCCTCTCGCTCTGCCTCTTTCACTCGAGAGATCTCCGGGTCGATCTGAATGCAAAGGGGCCGCAAAAGGTTTGCGTCGACTCTGACCGCGTGAATCCCCCTGCCTTCGCCGGTGCGGCCCATGGGCGCGTACCCCCAGCCGCCGCAGATCAGACCCCTGCCACCGGACAGGCCACCGCCCAGGCTTCGGCTGCTGAAGCCTGCAGTCTGACAGCCCCTGCCACAGCCGCCACCGAGACTCTGGCTGCTGAAGCCGCTGCCTCCGGAGCCACCCCCCCATCCACTGCCGTGGCCTTCCGGGCTTTGACTGCCGGCCTCTCCGGCTTGCTCATAGCCTCCCTCCCTGGGGCTGCCAAAGCCCCCGGGCCGTGCGACTCCAGCACCGTAGCCCACAGGCCCCATTCCATAGCCAAAGGGCCCGGAGCCAAAGCCCAAGCTGCTATAATCCCTAAAGCCCGTGCTGTATCCACCACTGCTTCCTCCGTATCCTCCAAGGCTTCCTCCAGCGAGTCTCCTGCTACGGCCAGTGTTGTAGTGACTGATGCTGCTGTAGCCACCGCATTTGCCCGCTCCGGTGTAGCAGATGGAGGACAGGCTGTTGCCTCCATGAAATCCCCTGCTGATGGCTGAGCCCGCTGGCCGAGCCCATCTTCCGTTGAGAGACCTGGAGCTGAAGCACTGTCGGCTCATGCTGGCTTGTTGAGGTGCAGGGCAAAGGTGGATGAAGCAAAGCTGAGCTGCAAACAGATCCCAGAGGAAGCGTAGGCGTGAAAGAAAGAGAGAGGGAAAGAACAGAGCCCCTTTCCTATGTCCATCAGAAGTTCTCCCTTTTATTCCGTAGAAGATCTGGGCTTGGCCACAAGATAATGAATGGGCGAATCCATCGGACTGGTTTGCTTGGAAGTCATAAATGGCAAATGTGTGTGTGTTTAACATGCAAACAAAAAGGCATCAAAGAATGCTAACCTTATGCTGATGAAATCATCTGAAATGGAAAAGAGATGCTTGGCTTGCAAGCCACTTGACGACAACCCTGTAGTATCTAATCAGTCAGTTTCCCATAGGCAATTAGGCATGAGCAAAATGGTTTCAAAAAGGTCCTCTGCATTTGCCCTTCTGCATGTTTGACCCTTTCTCCATCCTGCCCATGTAGGAGTTCCATGCCTGCAAGAGTGTTTTGCAGAGCTGCGCTTTAGGGTGTTGTGATTCAAGGGATACCAGCTCACTTATCCTGGCCGGGGGACTGGTGTTATGAACTGAGCAAATTCCCAGGAACTGATGCAAACCCCCACACAACAAAGCAAGGCAAAGCAAAGCAACGCAATGCAACACAACGCAATGCAACGCAACTCAAAGCAAAGCAAAAAGACTTCCAGGTGCCTCAGAATGTCCTGGTGGTTCTTGATAATAACAGTCTAATCAGAATTATTTTTGAATTCTTGAAGCTCCTGAGAGGGAAACAGGAGGTTTTCTAAAACAATGAAGAAAGAGGAATGTATAGAGCTCTTCAGGCAGAAACTTGGAAATGGATGTGCTGAATCTACTGATAAGTCATTTTCTGTGGTCGTTGGGTTTGTGAAGGTGTCACTAAATTGTAGCTTCATCCATCCATCCATCCATCCATCCATCCATCCATCCATCCATCTCTGCTTGCTCAGAGTGACACTGCTAATTGGTGTCATTGGCTACAGGATAGACAATTCCTGGTTCATTGTGGATGAAGCTGAAAATATATATGGAAAGTGAACCACTGCAATTGTCAAACTTGCAGGCTTACTTTAACTCTTCAGTCTTTGTGGACTAACTCCAACAAGTGACAAACTGATCTGAATGTGAAGAAAATGCATCCATTGCATTGAAAAATATGTTTGAATGTTGGATTGTTAGTATGTACTTGTGAACCAGCGAAACTCAAGCTCACTCAAGTTATCTGAATTCCTTCTCTAAAGTGTGTTCTAGCTCAAATCCATATTAGATTATGAGCATTATTTTTTTCTTTTTCCATGAAAATCTGGATGTATTTTCATGCATTTTGCAGATGTATGCATTAATTGTGCACATCTTGAAAAGCACACGTTCTTGTACCATCAGTTAATGTGCATTTGTGTGCTGTTGTCAACAGGATACATTTCGCAAATGTATGCATGCTGTCAAATGCATTCTTTGGGGTCCATGAAGTGCACTTGCAAACTCCAATGCAACCCAAGTCTGCATTTCGTCCAGAAGATGCAAACCGAAATGAACTTCTCATACATGCTGTTGGCTGGAGAGCAAACATTTTTCCTCTGTCAGAACACAATTTGGAACCATTCCTGACATTATTCCTCACTTGTAGCTCTGCATTGATCTTACTCAGCACAGCAATAACTGGGCTACCTTCCCAACAGGCTTGGAGAGGGGAACTAATTTAGTAGTGGATGGGAATCAGGGAGTCTCAGGAATGTCAAGCTAAAATTATAAGAAGCAGGGCGTGCTGAAGCTGTTCCTTGTGACATATTGCATAACTATTGTAATATGTTCAGTCCAGGTCAGCCACTCTTATACAAATGAAGTGCTGTCTCCCCTTGGCATGCATAAGTTAGCATGTTGGGCCATTTAATTATGGATAAAATTGAAAGCTGTTGGGGTAGAGCCAGCTAGGCTGCCCAAAAATAACAAAACTACATCATCATCATCATCATCATCTACATGTCTATACCATCTGTAGCTGAAGCTTTCTGGGCAGTTCTCAAACTTTAAGTCACCCATCCAGGTGTCAACCAGGCCCAACCCTGCTTAGCTTCCAAGATTAGACAGGATCAGTTCTTCCTGGTTGCTGTAATTGAGGACCCCCTTGCTGGGTCCACTGACTCTTGCCCCCAAATCCAACCCCGATGGCACCATGGGGAGCATGTTTCCAGAGTGTTGGGGCAGACTGTAGAGGCAGGGGAGCAAGGATGTCTCTTCAGACCTCCCCTCAAACATCTGGAGGACAGGGACTGGGCCAGCGGTGGCCTGGGGACAGAACTAGCAAGTGTTCACTCACACAGTCTGAACAATGGAGTAGGGCTGCTATGCTGCTGAGCCCCATAGCAGTAGTAGACGGGTGGGCTTTGGAGAAAGCAGGGTCTTGGAAGCAATGGGCCCAGTGCTCCAAATGGCTTGGGCAAGGTTACCCGAAGAAGCTTCTCTTCCCATATTGACCTCCCTGGACTTGGAGGTCACCTTCTTCCTCCAGGCACCCCTGCCAAATAAAGTAAGGCAGAAGACTACGAGAGAGGGGGGCTTTTGGGGATGGCACCCCTTCTGCAGAATGTGCCTGCAGTACAGCCTTCTCAGTTTGGTGCTTTGAGATCGCTGCACTTTTGCTGTTGCTGTTTTGATGGACTAAGGTGTTTTTACTCTTTGCAATCAAATTTGGGTCAGCTCTCTAATGTGCTGCTTTATTCTCTTTTTTTCACTAGGACCTTATATTTTAGGTTTTCAGTGTATTTTACACTACCCAAAGAACTTAAGTTGTGGGGCAGTTTCAAAGTATAACAATGGAAGGAAGGAAGGAAGGAAGGAAGGAAGGAAGGAAGGAAGGAAGGAAGGAAGGAAGGAAGGGAGGGAGGGAGGGAGGGAGGGAGGGAGGGAAGGAGTGATCTGATGCAACAGGCTTCTGTGTGTGTTCTTATGTCTTGGCTTCTGCCCAATCTGCCAGACCCTGTACTGTTTTTGTCTCTACCCTCTTACCTATTCAGACAGAGAGAGATTTTTTGCCACATTTTAATCAAATCATGCATCAGACTCAGATTCTTCCAGACTGAGGCATCTTAGAGTATCTTTCAAAGATGCCTTTGACATTCTAGGACCTAGCTCCAGTGTACCTCTGAAGCATACACTCCAAGCTACCTTTGCAATGGCTCCCTTCTTTCCAAGACTGGCCTTTGGTGAGTGCCTAGACCTTGCTGTACAATGAGGTAGGTCAGCAATGCAATGGCTCTGAAGAAATCATTAAGGCCTGAGCTAGTGAAGCATTCCCTCATTTAAATAAGCAGTCAGCTCCATTTAGAGCAAGACCAGTGCCAGCATGCACAACCCTGGAAGGACACTCTTTCACACCCCAATGCAAGGTGGAAATCAGCTTGCTGAGTGAAAGCATTTGAGTTTCGCACCATGCTGTTGCATGGGATGAGGGAAAGGGGGCTGCATTCACTTGAAATCCCTGGAATTCCTCTGCCTCAGGCAGGATCCTGATCAGGATATGTCTGCATGCTCAGATACCTGCTCGCAAGTCATTAATTCCACAAAGGTAGACTTGTACGGCGTGTGACTGTCTTGGCTGGCAGAGGTAAGGATTTGCGACACATGAGGGTATGTTGTCTGTTGTCTGTTGCTGCCATTGTCTTGCAGCAATGGCCCCATGCCTGAAATCCCTCTCCTCCGGCTGCCACTCTCAAAGAGGGCATCCTGGTCTGGAGCCACCGAGTCTGATGGCTGTGAGGCAACAGGCTCTCCTGGCAGTGTGTCCCACCTTGTTCCAACCAACTCCCTTGCGTTTAATGCCTTCGAGACAGCAATCGTCTAACACAGTGTCGGTGGCACCATTAAAAGAGGCTCATTTGCCTTGCTAATCCATTGTTAATTTGAATGACTGAAGGAGGAATGGCACGCTCACCATCTTTTGAAGGAAGGATCCTTTTCCATCTCAGCTGTAATTTGCTCCATTAAGTTGATGCCTCCTGTAATTTCCCAACAGGTCGCAGCTACTCAGCTTGCAGCCTCCCGCGTCAACAACAAAGGGTGTGTGATCCAGCGTCCCCTGTGCAAAACACACACAAGCCTCCAAACTCAGGCAGGGCTTACGTGTCCCCGAGCAGGGCATGCGGCATGGTGGCAGCAGCTCCCACTCACACCCTGCACTTCACCTCGAGGGCCACTGCCAGCCATCGGGATGAAGCAGCCCTGCGGAGGAGCACCGGAAGTGGGGAGGCATTCCAACAGGGTGCGAGCTGTTGCCCCAGCTTCCCTGCCTCCCTGCCTTGCCCCTTAGCCCTCCCCAACGTGGGGGAGGCATCCTGTGGGTTCTCCGTGTGCCGGCCGTGAGAGGGCAGGACAGAGACTCGGCACGCAGAGTTTGCAGCCACTGCTTCTCCATGTTGGAAGCAGGGTTAGGGTGCAGCACTCACTCACCTGGGAATGAACCTCCTTAAATGCAGTGGAACTTAAACTTGAGTGGACAGGAATTGGATCATGCTTTGTATATGCTCTTCTATCCTCATAACTCAGATAAGATGGGCATATTTTATGCTCAGGTGTCTGCAGCTGAACGCTGAATGTTACATGTAACAAACGTGCAAAGATTAGCTTGTGGATGACAAGTCCACAGAGTCCTGTTGGACTAACTGGTTGCAGAATATGAATTAAAATCAATCAATCAATCAATCTCTGATTGTGCATTGCATTGTCTCCCGTGGTCTCTGGGCTGCCATCAACCTAAACCTTGATGAAAACAGAATACATCTATTTCTCTGCATGAATGTGACCCTGCACTGGTTTGAGCTGGTCACTAACAGTGCCGTCTTCGGCATGTCTGGTCAGAAGTCACTCTGAATGGAGCGTAATCAGTCGGTGGAGCTTAGTGCCTGGTATGTTCCCACATCCTCTATGCAGGGGAGCAGGGCTGTTTTTAGCCCAAAGGCCAACTTCTGTTTTGGAGAAGTGCTCAG